CGGGGAGACTGGAGACCAGTGAGTAGCTATTACTATGACTGGATGCTGGAGACAGCAGCTGTCGTCTGTAGAGATCTGGACTGTGGCTCTGCTGTTTCTGTAGGACAGAGAGAGGAGTCCTCACTCAGACCTGTGTGGTGGATCAGGTCTGTCTGTGTTCAGTCTGGATCTGCTCTGAGGGAGTGTGCATCATCATTTCCTCTCTCCATCCTGGATCTCACCTGCTCAGGTAAGCCCATCAGTGACATCATCTATGACAGTAATGTACCGAGGTCAGGTCCGGATTAAGAAGTCAGAGGCCCCTGGACAATTTGTCTTGTAGGTCCCCCACACCACACACACATTAAGGTTTTGAATTCCAGGGTATTATTTGTAGGAAACATCTTTAGCTTATACAGGATTTATGCTGACAGGTTACAGCCTATGATCACAGTCTGAAGAACAATATCAACACCTGTACACGTCCTCCATCATGCAGGATTTACACCACATGCTTGCAACAACGCTGTCCTGGACCAGCAGCAACAATATCAACATTTCCCTGCTTAGTGTGACTCACTGGCTATTAGTATTAAAATAACTGCAAACTCACAGAAAAGTCCGCTCCATCTCAGAGTCCAGGGCTGAATTTCAGCATCAGTACATCCCTGGTAGCAGCATGAACACCCTGTCAACCCTCCCTTTATTCTGCTGTAATTTTAACCTTTCTAAAAATGCCGCTGGGCGTATTTGAAATGTTTGCTACGTTCCCCTCCGGTAAAGCCAGTTGCAGTATGTAACGTTAGAACATCAGCTGTAACAGAGACAGGAAGTCAACGGCACCCGCCAATAAAACAAGAAGAACAGCAGCACGAGGGGAGCAGTTGCCAGGATGGATGATGCAGGGCTCTACAGAGTATTTCACTCGCATTTATCCATAAAAATAGATTCATGCAAAGAGGAAAAATGATTTACGAGTAAAGACTATAAACTACCATAACTGTTCTGCATGAATGGTTCTGATTATTGACAAGTATTTACTGCATTAATAAATTAGAGACCAATGTAGACTGTGTTTCTTGCACATGGATTTTCTAAATGGAAACATTCCACAAAAATTAACAGTGGGCAGTGTTGGGAAGGTAACTGTGGAAATGTAATAGGTTACCGATTACAAGTTACGCTATTTCAAATGTAACAGTAGTCTAGGTTAACTATTTCAGTTACTCCATCAAAGTAATTTATCACATAACTTTTCTAAATTTCTAATGAATGTTTTCAACTGTTAACCATTTTCAAAGACAGCTTGAGAGGCAGATGGTGGGCTGCAAATTCAGACATGAGAACCAATCAGACCATTAATCTGGACCTGGTCTAATGTGGTCTACATGTGAAAACAGCAGATAAATGTCCTTTAAAGTATTTTCACAAATTGAAAAAAGGAAACTATGTTTGATTGAAACTTTAGCCTCTTTGGACAATCTAGTCCAGATTTGAGAGCTCTAGGTATAGTGGTTTTGGATCTGGACCTGGTCTAATGTGGTCTACATGTGGAGAAAAGCAGTGAAAGTTATTTCAAATCTAAAAAAGTGTTTCAGACAGCGTTAAGGCTTTGCCTAAAATGCACAACAGCTTTCACAGCAGTAAGAGGTGCAAAAAACGGAGATTCGGTCGCTCAGCAACGTTAACTTTCACTGAAGTTCTCCTTAACTTCCCCTTAACTGCAGAATCGGAAGCTGCGAATTGGAAGCTAACTTCAGCGTCGTTAAAAAAACTGTAAAAAGTATAATATTATATGAAATTATCATGAATACAGTAATCAATATACTACAACTAAACAGTACTATTAAATGAACATTACACTTCTTATTTGATGTAATAATGTTGTACTACATACTAGATCCTCCACTGTTTTTAGACTGGTGGCCAAAACAAAATGGCAATAATTATAATTATGGCAATAATTACAGTTACGAACGTCTCTCTCAATCATTCTCCATTCTTCCTTCTACTTTACTTTAGCTTGTTGGCTAACAGCTGACTTGAATAACATCAGGTCCAGTGCAGCTGACCTGCCGCCCAGTCGCGTATTTATGCCAAGGATGATGCGTTCAGTAAGTCAGTACTGCAGCGTTACTTGGATTAGTAACTGTAATAATATTACTGTTTTGTAAATAGTTATCTGGAAAAAGAGTAAATGTAAAATGAGAAAGTAATATTATTACAGTTCCTGCCCAACTCTGCTAACAGTAGGCCTGGCTATGAAATCAGTTTTAATTTAATGTTAGTATGATAGCAATTTTTCCTTGCTTTACCTTTAGCTTTGTTTCCAGTCTCTTTGCCATCATGCACAGGTAGGAGGGAAGTTTTTAAGCAGACACACAAGATGATTTTCCAGAGAGATTATTGCAGATGAGGTTTGTGGTTTATTGCAGCAGTAAATAGTACAAACAGATGAACATAGCGGTTGATTTCTTATCTTGTTTCCAGTTGTTTGCGTGTATTCTGACTCTGTGGTCTGGCCAGAACTGTTTGTGCTCCCCCTACCTGTGCCTACCACTTCCTGTCACCTATGCCCTCTATATACAACCACGTGCATCTAATCACTGCCACCCAGTGTCCAAAATACTAATATAAATATATCCAAAGAAAAATAAAATATCACGCCAACAATAAACATAAATGGCTCCTACAGTTAGAATATTATACTAATAGAGATCATTTATACTCCACAGATTCTGTGCAACCAAAATAAAAGTTTTTTTAACAATGAAATAATACTGAAAACACGAGAGTGAACACTTAAATTAGGGAAACACTTTAACACCCTCCCTCCTCTGAGGGAGTAAACACGAGCCTACAGCTCCACACTGCTGTCTGACCCTAACCGCTCCACGACCCGCTCCGCTCTGCACCAGCTCCTCTCTAGTAGGCCTAACTATACTCTCCACCAATTAGTGAACACTTTTGCAAAGTATTGTATGCATGCTATATTCTCATTAGGGGCTGAGCACCCCTAAAGGTCTGATACTAGAATCGCTCCTGTGTTATAATCTAAATGTAAACATTTGCTGCCAAATTGTGTAACTAACAATTTATTGATTCCAATAAAGCATATTGAAGTGAATTGATATCAAAGATGCAAACAGCATAGGTCAACTTTACTAAAACCTGAAAGTATCTGATATAAAAAAATTAAGAATCTGGAGGGTTTTTCTTTTTCACAATGATGATAATTCTATATTTTATGTAGGTTATTCTCTCTCAATATCTTTATCTTGCATTGTCATATAGCTGACCTCTGCAGTTTGCAAAAACTAATCTCAAACTGTCATGGATAGCCATTCCAGTGTCAGCCAGACTCTCCCCTCTGTGACTCTTATTTGGTTCAAAGCCAACAAATTGTTTGGTTATTTACACCACTTTACTCACAAATCTAACACTGAATGTCAGCTGGTCAGTATAGGTCAGGAGTGTAGAGTCCACTGTTACAGAAAAATACTTTCTGCTGCTGTAACCTTGTAACACTAACGAGTCACATGACACCGGGGAGAGTTGTTGGATTATTTTCTAACCAGGTTTTTATTCTGGGTCACAGGTCTTCTTGGAAAATTAAGACAGAAAGAAAAGTGTTGAACTGGTTTGTGTGGAGAACAAAGATTGTGGAGAACCTGAGCAGAAGGAACAGATCAGAGAAATCTGCAGATGTTGATGTTGTGCTGCTGTTTGGAAACATGTTGAAAGTGTTCAGACGTGGAGAACAAGTGTGACAGAGTATTAAATGTAAATGTCTGTGCTGTTGGAAAGACGTGTTCTGTTGTTAATGATGAACTGATGTTGGAGTTGTGCTGAGTCCAGTTTGAATCACTGAATTGTTGTTTCATGACATGTTTTTATTTTGTCTCTGGTGTCTTTATCTCTATTTCATCTTCTATTATCTCTCCAGACTCTGTCAGGCTGCTGGACGGGACTAGTCTGTGCTCAGGCAGACTGGAGGTGAAGTCTAACCAGTCTAACCAGTCTAACCAGAGGTGGTCCTCAGTGTGTGAAGCTGACTTTGACCAGCAGGATGCAGAGGTGGTCTGTAGGGAGCTCGGCTGTGGGGCTCCTTCAGTCCTCCAGGGGGCGCTCTATGGAGAAGTGGAGGCTCCGATGTGGACCAAAGAGTTCCAGTGTGGAGGCCATGAGTCTGCTCTCCTGGACTGTAGAAGCTCAGGCTCAGCTAGAAACACCTGCTCACCTGGAAAAGCTGTTGGACTCACCTGCTCAGGTAGAAGAGGAGCTGCAGCTTTGATTTGGTTCATTTCTCTTCTGATGAAACTCACTTTATTGTTTTACTGATGACTCTCTGGTTTCTGTTCAGAGCCTGATGATGTCAGGTTGGTGGGAGGAGCCAGTCGCTGTGCAGGAACACTGGAGGTGAAACATCTGGGAGACTGGAGACCAGTGATTTACTCTGTCTGGACCCTGACGACAGCAGCTGTTGTCTGTAGAGATCTGGACTGTGGCTCTGCTGTTTCTGTAGGACAGAGAAAGGAGTCCTCACGCAGACCTGTGTGGTGGATCAGGTCTGACTGTGTTCAGTCTGGATCTGCTCTGAGGGAGTGTGCATCATCAGATTCCTCTTCCTTCATCCTGGATCTCACCTGCTCAGGTGAGCCCATCAGTGACATCGTCTATGACATCATGTATGACAGTAATGTCTCCAGTGTGTCCTCTCCTCTGTCTCAGTGTCTCAGTGGTTTCCATTGGACTGAACTGTAAAGTTCTCCAGGACAGTGACGTCCTAAAGTGTAGAGAGGTGGGCTTGTTTCTGGAAGCTTCACCTGACAGGACACACCTGGAGGAACCTGTCTGTCTGTCTGTCTCTGTGTTTGGGGACGTCCCACCAGGTGGATCCAGTCCCTCCTTTTACAGTCTGTCATCGCTCTGCTCCATGTTTGTTACTCGTGTCAGACCTGTGACATCACTTCCTTTCCTCAGAGGCCCAGCAGCAGGGGTTTCAGGTTTTCAGTGGCTCCACCTTCACCATCAGCTGCTCCATCCAGCCACAGTACCCAGGAGGCTCCTTCCAGCTCGCCTTCACCTCCTCCATCACATCACACAACTACACCCAGCCAGCTGTCAATCACTCTGCCCACTTCCTGTTTCCTGCTGCAGAGCCCGCCCACCAAGGAAGCTACAGCTGTGTTTATCACCTCCATGTTTTTTCTCATGACTTCACCTCTGAGAGCCGTCGGCTGTCTCTCACTGTCTCAGGTAAGCTGAAGCAGAGCAGCTGAAACGTCACACTGACTGTTTCCATGCAGCTTTGGAAAAGATGATCCGTCCAAACTGACTGAACACGATCAGCTGACAGTTTCCAAGCATGTTGTGTTTCTGACTGACTCTGTGACTGATGTCAGGTACGGTGGCCCTGCAGGCCACAACGCACTGGAAACTGAGCTAACATGTACGTTTTGGTAGCAAGTCCCTGAAAACAGTTTCAATTGTCTTCTGTGCTACTTGCAGCATTTCTGTATTTGGTTGTTGTCATTGGAAGAGAGACTGATCCTCGCTGTTTGTGAGTTTCCAGAATCTATGTTTACTAAATAGGACATCAACACGAGGGAATTTGTATGGCAGAGCAACCCCGCAAAACTAGATGTAGGCCTATCAGGTAAATTTATGTAGCCTATAATTTTAACTTAAATTAAATAGGCTACAGTTGTGTAGCACACAGAAGTCATTGCCATGGTTACTATCTATAGAGCGCCTGGCGTTTAATTGCGGAGCACTTTTCTCCCTTTCTGATCATCGGAGCAAAGAGCACCACTTAATTTCGGGTCAAAATGTGTTGCAACACGCGTTACTGAGATTGCAACGGGTAGAATATTACTGATTTGTTTTTTTTTTTAGTAATGTGATATATTACTTCATTACAACAAAAGGCAATGCATTCCTGTAACTGTTACTTTTGTAACATGTTACTCCCAACGCTAGAGATAAGGAGGAGATCTGCTGTAGGGTGACATCATTTTCACCGTCCTCATCGCCCTCCTCCTCACAAACAGGGAGCTAGCTAAACTAAGCAGTAAACCCTGCATCAGGTTGCTCCACCATGTCCTCACAGGAGTCAGTGAACAAAGCCTGGGTTTAACTCCCACTCCGAGATGCAGAGGTCCTGCATCCTAGTGTGTCAGGGAAACAAATCGAGTTTTGTTTTCTATAGGCCAGAATCAGACACCAAGCCAAAGCCTGCTTAAACATGATTGGTCCATACTACTCGGACAACAAGCCAAAACCAGGAAGCTTTCGATACCAAAATCTTGTCTCTTGCCTCCAGATTCTGCGTTCAGATATCTGTTGATTACTGACGGACTGAAGTGGTTTTGGGAGATTTCAGGTCACTACAGTTTGTGTTTAACAGGAGCTGATGGACTCATGATGTTGTGTGATGTGATGACTGTCCATGTGTTTGATCAGATCCAACAGGTCTTCTCATCAAAGTGGTCGTCCTGCCGCTGACTCTGCTGTTGGTGATCGCTGCCCTTTGTTTCTACTATAAGGTACTGACACATGTCTGTTGTTTAGAGGACTGAGATGAAGCACTCGGTCTGTGTTTACTGACCTGAAGAAGAGGAGGAGTGATGCACTAACTCTCATGTGTGCTGTCATGTCTCTCCAGGCCAGCAGGGGGCAGAAGCCGGGCAGGCAGGAGGACATTGAGCTGGATTATTATAACGTGGGTGTTTCTGCAGCTGAAGGAGGGTCGACTGAAGAGGAAGGAGCTCAGGGAGCAGAGTAGGACCTCCAAGGAGCTCATCTCAGCTGCCTCACAACCCCCCATCAGCTCAGTCAAGGATTTTACACTTTTATACTGATGTTCCCTTTAAAGGTTAAGTGTGTAAGTTCTAGTGACATATAGTGCTGACTTTCCCTCCCCTATCCATGTGAGCGGTATAGCTGTGGTGCCTGAGACAGGACAAAGATGTAATCTATGAGATAGAAGAGTTGCCAGTCAAGAAATGAGGTTTCTTTAGATAGATGTGTTAAGAAATTATATAAATTATGTAAAACTATCTGTTTTTTTGAATATTATTGTTACTAGTTCATTAATAAACAACAGCCACATGAAGAAATAAGGTGCTACATGATGTCTCATACTACTGTAATACATAATTACATAAGAATTAACCCTGTCATACACGATTTTACATACATTTATACAAGATTATTTTTATTACTCAAAATTGGGCTAATATACAAATCATTTACATTTTCTTGAAATTCTGCTTTGTTTTTAAATTATTTACCTGTCCCTGTATGTGGCCACCATGCAGTCAGCATGAGTAAAATGCCACACCTGACAATATGGATTATTAACCCTTGTATGGTGTTCGGGTCTGTTGGACCCGTTTTCATTTTTTATCAAAAGAAAAATTATACCATTATTTATTTTTTCAAACTCATTGGCCTTGGCTCATTTTCTGTGAAGAATATATATCAGAACACATTTTCAATGAAAACACACTGTACACCCCCCTACACATTTACATTACACACAGGATGTCCGGGTCTACTGGACCTGAGGCTAATAAAAGTGTGGAAACTGTAGGTCCTGTGTACCTTTACTCTGTCCTCCTCCTGTCCTGTGTGAGTTTTGTGTTTCTGCACCTGCCGTTCCCGCACAAGGTCCCAACATTGTTGCAAAATCTAAGCACCAACACCGTCTGCTCTCACATTCCCGCACATTTTACCCTCTGTCTTGTGGGAACCAATATTTATTTTCTCTAAATTGGGGGCGGGACACAATAAATGTAGCTTTACCAGTGTGGTTTCTTATCACAACTGATCAAGATGGCCAAAAAATTAACTGCTCAGAGGGCCTTGCAATTGATTTTGGAAGAGACAGAAGATTTTGATGATGTACAAGAAGAGGTTTCAGAATGTGAAGATCACATTTCTGACAGTGACTTTGAAGAAGAGGATGAGATTGAGCATCACCTAGTTCCAAAACGAAGACGAGCCACAGGACCAAAGTCAATAGTTATGAAAAACCTTGCTTCATTTATAAATTTGTTGAATTTCTTTTTATAATCTCATACCTTGATTATATTTGATTTTCTTTTTTTTTATGTCATTTTAGTAAAAAATAAACCAAAAAACCAGTAGCACTTTAATTCTTAAATGTGATCTAACAAAGGTAAAGAGAAAATATTAACCATATATGCTGTTTATATTGCTTGTAATTGGGATGTACGCCACCACTTATCCCCCACTTACAATGCTGTCCTTTCATCACTTCCCAGGAAACTCAACAAACGTAACCTATTGGCCTGAGGTGAAGATACCAACGATGGTCGTTCAGTCTTGGCCACCGGTAGTCTTAACGACTGTAACGACTGTCGTCACAGCAACAAGGAACACTAACGAACCAGCGGTATCGATGACCCGGGATAACGACCCCACTGAGGTTAAATAGCTGAGTTTCCCTGCCAGTCAGTCAGAACTGAAGAAGTCCTTTTGATGAAGGACGAAACGTCTTCCAGTATCTTCAACCAAGTCCAGCTGCCCTTGATTTTAACCTTCGTTGGATAACTATGACCTGGATGACTGAGAATCTTCATAGACATAACTGGGATGAAGTAAACATCTGTTGAGTATTTTAACATAAAATTGTTTGATTGTGTTGAATTAAAAACCCCAAAATGCAGCGGGTCCACCAGACCCATGAACACTGGCTGAATATCAAAAATATGAACACCACACAAGGGTTAAGTTTTTAATGTCATGTTATGCTTGTATTTAAGCTCAATAGTTTAAAATTAACAATAAAATTATTTTTTATTATAAAATAATTTTTCATATTTTAGGAACAAATAGAAGAAACACACATTTATGCGGAAATCCAGTAGCATATTGTTATCCTCATTTAACTTCATGATACAAATATCACATCCTTGAAAATAATGATAGATGAATGGTTACAGAAATCCAACTTAATGTAATCTGAGTCCACTGTTGGACGACATCCACATACGTGGGCAGTTAACTTTTAGTGTATAAAAACTACATTTTACTCTAAATTTAATTTCTAAAACATAAACCTGTTTATAATACCTGCAGCAGCTCTGTACGCTCCACCGCCCCACTCCCTCTCTGGTACAGGTTGTGTTGCTAGTACGAGTGACGCACTGTGAACGGTTGGTGATTGTTCCCTCTGGCTGGATGAATATTACGCATGATCCATACACTATTGCTGCTGAGAGCTCTCCACAGCGCCATGCAACTTTCTAAATTCTTCCTTATCACTGAGAAAAGAAAGAACTTTAAAAGAACTTTTTATTTCTCAAAGCTAAGAATCACTCTCACTCTCTATGTTTCTGATTTAAGGACGTGCAGTTAATAAGACGGGGGGGGCGGACAGTGCAGGCATCATCTTTGTCAGCGAGTTGGTGAGGAACGTCACCTCACCACTGACTTTACGCAGTCATGCCTTTTCAGTTAAACTGAAGGTTGTCATGACGCTTCATTTATTTTCCACAGGACAAACGCAACAATGCAGAGCATTGTGATCTGTCACAACCATCAATAAGCTGAATAGTCATAGAAACAATTTTAGCACTTACAGCTACACACATCGTCACACGTTTAATCAACTTCCCCCGTAATCCAACAGAAGTAAACACAGTTCATGCAAACAGCCGGCTTTACAGGAGTAGTAGGTGCATTTGATGGCGCTCATATAAATATTTTTATCTTTTATTTATTAATGTGTAGGCCTATATAATAATGTATTCTTTTAATGTGTATTCTCCTCAAGGCTTAAAGTCTGAGCTTGTCCCTGAGCTTTGAGTTGACTGAGCCTGAGTTGTGAAACTCTTAGTATTCGGTTTCAGAATAGCTAATCAGAATTAGTTAAATGACTATGTTGAGCCTGATGGAAGTGCGTGTGAGGGGATGAAAAAAAGACATCATCAATGGAGCTCCAATACTACGATTCACCATGGTCATGGACCATGATTGGCTCAGGAGTGGAGGATCAATACGTTAGTACATTAGTACTCTTTATACAGTGTTGCACAGTCATCATTTAACAGACCGGAATTTTCTTAATAAATGATAAAGTGCTGGAATTCTCCTACAGCCCATTACATTCATTTTAAATAGGAAGGCTATATTTATTAAGCTGTAACCTGACTAAATGCTGGTGGCAATCTGCTACCTGACTATGAAAACAGGTGTAGATAAAAATATAAGAGACGGTTTACTAATGAAGCTGTGATTGTAAAGTCACAGTCACACCCAGCAGGTAGCCTATCATAATATTTTTGTCTATAGGTTCAAACTGACTGTAAAGTTTTAGATGTCTATTTTACATTAATAAAATCTTGACAATTTTGTATTTTATTAATGCTGTCAAGACACATTCAGAATATATGCAGCTAATAATGAAAAACACTACAATATGAAAGGTTACTGTTCACTGATCCGTTTTCATAGTTTAAACAGTGATTACTGCAGTGATGTAGCTCAAAGTTGTGTTTTCAGTGCAACTGTCCACAGAGTCAGAGTTGCCCTTCGAGGGAACTCGAACTGAGTCGGTTACGACACTATGGGAACGCCTCTAGGCGAAGCAGGTCTGAACGTGAATGAAATCACTCCAATCCTATTGGCTTGTTGCTAGAACGGTAAGGTGTGACGGAATAACCGGAGGAGTATAAAGCACACCTGTACACACTCATCATTAGCTTTTTTCTATTCAGCAGGCGCTCTGTATGTTGTTTGAAGAAAGCTCCAGTCCTACAAGCAGTATGTCTTACCTGAAGAAGAAGTCTACCAGCATGTCCGGCAACCAGATGTACAGAAGGTGTTTTTTTCTTGCCCTCGGTACATCACGGATGGAGATTCTCATGAGATATGTGTCTCATGTTTGGGGATGGAGCACGCACGGGCAGCTCTCGAGGGGGCTGTTTGCGCCCATTGCAAAGCCCTTTCCGTGCGGGTACTGAGGTACAGCATGGCTCTCTTTCCGAGGATGGCCGGATGTGTTTTCCCTGTGGTGTGGGCCCTGCGGCCGCTGAGGCGGCCCGGCGGCTTCACTCATGGGTTCACAGCGTGATCTGTCGGAGGATTCGGGACGGCTGAGGCTTTTTGCCGACCTTCATCCGCTGGCTCCGACGCTTCCTTTCCTCGTTCGGGAGCCCGTTCTCGGCTTCTCCCGCTCGCGGTTTGGATCCGGAGACGCTGCAGCAATCCGACTCCGAGGAGGCGGACGTGCTCAGCGCAGTGGACGATGACTTCCGGGTGTCTGGGCGGCGTCATCTGGCGCTACTATGACGTGCTGCTGGAGGTGGTGACTAGAGCCGTGGCTAAGCTCAACATCAACTGGCCACAGGAGGAGCAGACACCACTGGCTAGTGGTAAGCTTGATGAAAGGTTTCTTAAGCACCACGCACCACCTCCACGCCGGTCTCAGCCATTCTTTCCTGATTTACATGATGAACTGAGTAATCATGGGGCAGACCCTTCTCTACATGGCTTTCCACACCCCGATCACTGAACTACAGTAATGTGATGGGGGTTAGGGACCGTGGTTATGCGAGGATGCGCTTGCGAGCTATCTCTCCCCTCGACTTGCGTCCTCCCTGGAGGAGCCGGCGTTACCCTCCAGCCATGTCGCACCACATCTACGCTCGTGGGGAAGGCGTACATGGCAGCGGGCCAGGCAGGTGCGAGCTTGCTCACCATGGCGTGCTTCAAGCCTACCAAGCCGACCTGCTACAGGAGATGGTTCAGAGGGGGGGTCCCTCTGAGGAAGATCTGGTGGAGCTTCGCAGAACCACGGAGCGTTAGACGCAGGGCGAAGCGTTCCGCCAGTACCTCCCTCGCCGGTCTGGACCCAAGGCAGCTGAGGCTGGAGAGGAAGCAGAGTGTCGCTTCTCGGGGGCCCCCCCGAGG